TCCTAATATCCAACCTAAACCTCCCCCACTGAAACTTGAGACCATTACTCCTTGTTCTGTCATCTGCTACCACTGACAACAGGCTAGATCCATCCTCTTTGGAACCCCCTTTCAGGTAGTTGAAAGCAGTTATCAAATCCCTGCTCACTCTTCTCTTCTGCAGACTAAATAAGTCCAATTCCCTCAGTCTCTCCTCATAAGTCATGTGCTCCAGACCCCTAATCATTTTTGTTGCCCTCCGTTGGACTCTTTTCCAATTTTTGCACATCCTTCTTGTAGTGTGGGGCCCAAAACTGGACACAGTACTCCAGATGAGGCCTCGCCAATGCTGAATAGAGGGGAATGATCACGTCCCTCGATCTGCTGGCAGTGCTCCTACTTATACAGCCCAAAATACCGTTAGCCTTCTTGGCAACAAGGGCACATTGTTGACTCATATCCAGCTTCTCGTTCACTGTAACCCCTAGGTCCTTTTCTGCAGAACTGCTGCCTAGCCACTTGGTCCCTAGTCTGTAGCAGTGCATGGGATTCTTCCGTCCTAAGTGCAGGACTCTGCACTTATCCTTGTTGAACCTCATCAGGTTTATTTTGGCCCAATCCTCTAATTTGTCTTGGTCCCTCTATATCCTATCCCTACACTTCAGCGTATCTACCACTCCTCCCAGTTTAGTGTCATCTGCAAACTTGCTGAGGGTGCAATCCACGCCATCCTCCAGATTATTAATGAAGATATTGAACAAAACCGGCCCCAGGACCGACCCTTGGGGCACTCCGCTTGATACCAGCTGCCAACTAGACATGGAACCATTGATCACTACCCGCTGAGCCCAATGATCTAGCCAGCTTTCTATCCACCTTATTGTCCATTCATCCAGCCCATATTACTTTAACTTGCTGGCAAGAATACTGTGGGAGACCGTATCAAAAGCTTTGCTAAAGTTAAGGAATAAACACATCCACTGCTTTCCCCTCATCCACAGAGCCAGTTATCTCATCATAGAAGGCAATTAGGTTAGTCAGGCATGACTTTCCCTTGGTGAATCCATGCTGACTGTTCCTGATCACTTTCCTTTCCTCAAAGTGCTTCAAAATTGATTCCTTGAGGACCTGCTCCATGATTTTTCCAGGGACTGAGGTGAGGCTGACTGGCCTGTAGTTCCCTGGTTCCTTCTCCTTCCCTTTTTTAAAGATGGGCACTACATTAGCCTTTTTCCAGTCATCCGGGACCTCCCCCGATTGCCATGAGTTACAGAATATACCACTGCACACGTGAACTGGTCTTAGATCCTTCTCAACTGCCTCAGCCTGAGATGGAGCCTTAGCAGTCATCCATGTTGAATTTTTAATCTCAGCTGTGTCCCCATAACTATAATTAACTACTGTAAGAACTATTAGTGGCAGTTAGGTAGTTCTAGTAGTAGTTTTAAAAAAAAAAACAAACATATTTTGAAAAAAAGTTGTGTTATCTATTAGATTTTCTCCCCTCCTGGGAGCTTTACATTACTGGAAGGGCACGCCCGGTTCTCCTGGTTTTAAATGTTGTCACTAGGAGGCAATCCTCGTGAGTGACGGATGCTCCTAGTGCATTCGTTGCCTCAGGGAATCTCATGTAACCCAAAAATGCAACTTCTGTCTGGCATTAAAATCTAGAGCCAGAAAAAACAAGGAGATCAAACTTTGGATCCTCATGATGGAGAGCTTGCTATGCCCAGCCTCTGATCCAGGCCAGGAGACCTTCCCTGTATGCCAGTCTCTGAAGAAGTCAGCTATCTCAACTGTCTCCAAGTTGTACTTCAAGGGCATCTAAGAGGAAGACCCAAGATTCCTCTCATAAGACTTCCAGAGGCCATGCCTTGAGTTCTTCATGTAGGGAATCTAACACAAAAGTTGCAGTCGCCAGTGACACAAGCTTATTATTCCCCACCCCCGTCCCCATTTTTTACACTTGCTGTCTGGTCATCCTAAGCAGGAAAGACTGGGAACAAGGACTTGATGGATATTTGAGAACTTTATTTTGGGAGTGATTGTTATTTTAATAAATCCAGTCCCAAATAGGGCTGTTGCTGAACCAGAGAAGTTTGTTTTGGTAGTCTGATTAAGAGAACCCTAAAAAGTAGGGAGAGTGGGCCACTGTAGAGTGACCTCAGGCCACAAGGGGGTGCTGAGAAGGTGACTGACTCTATTACACTAATCATATTCACTTTCCATTTGGTGCTGTCCAACCTACTAAAAATATAGCACAGTCAAGTGGGAGAGGCTCAACCATGTAAAGTGTTTCAAAATCCAAGGCTCAACAGTTGATGATGTATGAGACAGTGACTGAAACAAGGCTTTAACACATTTTTTCTAAGTACTCATATAAAACACAGTTTGAAAAAAGCTATATGCAGATATGTTTTCATTTTTTGTCTTAACTTGTAGTTTGATTTTTTTATATTTTATTTTGACCATATTGTGACAGATATTTCCTTTAAAGACCTTCTTGAATTAAGTTTAAGTACATTGTATTACTCATAGACTTTAAGGCCAGAAAGGATCATCATGATCATCTAGTCTGACCTCCTGCACATTGTAAGCCACAAAACCTCATCTACCCATTCCTGTAAATAAACCCTTAACTCCTGGCTCAGGTACTGACATCCTCAAATTATGACTTAAAGATTTCAAGTCACAGATACTCCATTTACACTAGTTTAAACCTCCAAGTGACCCATGCCCATGCTTCAGAAGAAGGCAAAAAAAAAAAATCCCTGGGTCTCTGGTAATCTGACCTAGGGGAAAGATTCCTTCCCAACCCAAATGGTGATCAGTTACACCCTGGGCATGTGGGCAAGACCTACCAGCCAGACACCTGGAAAAGAATTCTCTGTAGTAACTCAGAGTCCTCCTCATCTAGTGTCCCATCACCAACCATTGGAGATATTTTCTGCTAGTAGTTGCAGGTTGGCTACATGCCATTGTAAGCAGTGTCATCATACCATCCCGTCCATAAATTTACCAAGCTCAGTCTTGAAGCCAGTTAGGTTTTTGCCCCCACTGCAAATGCAGAAGTTATATATTATTGTGGGCTGGGATTGCATGTAACTTCTCTAGGGTGGAAGATGGGATGTGAATCCTGGGAAGTGTTATGAACTGCAAAGGACTACACTCATCAGTGTGCCAGAGGAGAATGGACTTCTGGGACAAACAGTATAAGGTGTTTTCCTGGGGAATCTCAGGGATATGAATGCAAATTCCCACCCTTGATTATGTAAAAACCCAGCCTTTAAAGCTAACCCCCCCCAAGAAGGGTGATTGTTTACTGATTGCTTGTTGTCAAAGATTGGAGGAAAAAGGCCCAAACTGATTCAAGAAACAGGCTGATCTGCCCCCTTGGCATGCTTGTTCTGAGCTAAAGCTGTTACGAACTTTTAAGCACAGAAAAACCCCTTTGGTGGGGTTTGAAGGACTGACTCCTACCAGAGCCCTGGTTGGAGTTGGGGGTGATCCCTGATAAGCTTATTTGCATGTGTGTAAGGTTCTTTTGTTGTTTTCTCTATAATGCTTTCACCTTAAGAATAAATGTTCTTGCTTATAAAGAGCTGTGTGGTAACTTGTGACTGCTGGCTATTACAGCTGTTTATAGCCTTTGAAGAGTGAGCAAAAGTGTAGACACCAGCCTGTTTAGACAGGCTGGCTTGCTGGGAATTTCATAGTGTAAATGGGGAGCTGTGCAGGCATCACCTTCATTTGGGTGAAGACACATGTCTTTCTTCCTCCTGACCAGGGAGAGAAAAAACTGGTCAGGAGGAAGAAAGACATGTGTCTTCACCCAAATGAGGTGATGCCTGAGAAGCCAGGAGCCTAGAGTGGGTGCTGTTGGGGACCCCTGAGGGGGAATATAGGTGCAGTTGCCCTGAACTGTGACACATGCAACAAAATAAAGTGGCTTCAAAAGTTACTGTTTCTAGCAACATTTTTAAGAGTAAGAAAATATTATAATGCACATGCTATTTTAAAATGAATCCATTCAGTTAATAGTTAAGAGAATAATGTGATTGGAATAATTAAATAAAAATAAATTTAAAAACCCATATTCTCTTGTTGCACATTTACAACGGTTTAGTATTTCCAGGGGTGTAGTCAGAGAAATAGGTGGAAATAACACAAATTCACCCTGGGATTTAATAATACCTATTTTTTATGGTGCACTTTTTATTCATACATCTGAAAGCATTTACAAAGCATTACAATTACTTAGAGGGGGAAATGGAGATATAAAGAGAAGTGACTTGCAAGATCACCCATTAGGAAGTCAGATGCAGAAATGAGAACAAAATCCAAGGCTCCATGCTTCCAGTCTACTAACCTGCCATTGGAGCACATTGCCTTCTTATCATATCACCTGTGACTGTCGTGGGGGGGAAAAAAGTGGAATTAAAAATTCTCTTAAATTCATGCGAGAAAGATATATTCTTTCAATGCTGTTCTGAATGTAGGCTGCCTTTATGGTCTGCTTACAATGTAATTTAAGAGCATTTGTTGCAGTCACAGCCCACTGTTTCCCTACTCCAGTGTTTCCCAAACTTGGGATGCCGCTTGTATAGGGAAAGCCTCTGGCAGGCCGGGCCAGTTTGTTTACCTGCCCCGTCCGCAGGTTCGGCCGATCGCGGCTCCCACTGGCCGTGGTTTGCTGCTCCAGGCCAAGTAGAATTGGGGGAAAGAACCTGAACTGGGGCTTAGTACCCTCAACAAAGTGAACTCCAGTTGCTTCTCTGACGTTTTCTTCATGTCTTTCTGATTTAACTGGTCGTTGTGTGTATTTGGGGTCTAATCAGAATCAGGCACTTGTGCTTGGCATTGTACAAACATTTACGACATTCCCTTAAGACAAAACAAACAAACTGGGGGCTGAAGAGAACGGGAAGGAACAATAAAACAAGCACGATGAGCATTGGTCACTGCTTACAACCTGTCTTTCTATGTGACGTGTTTTCTTTTTCTGTTTTCCTGATGTTTAGCTATATCTCCATAGATGCTACGTTACAAAGGCTGGAGGCCCATTCCTTCTACAATTTAAGTAAAGTCACTCATATGTAAGTACAGTGATAAAATAAGTTTACTTCCTTGAGAAACGTGTGGAATAACAGACTCAATATGTTTAAATTCTGATTCTCTCATATATGGTGCTAAATGTTTAACTACCACTTCTCTCTCTTTCTTCCTCCTCCATTCTCTACCCTCATCTTGGGATCTGGGGCAAAAATCTGTCTGCAGATTGGTCCTGCTTTGAGTAGGGGGTTGGACTAGATGACCTCCTGAGGTCCCTTCCAACCCTAATATGCTATGATTCTATGATCTTCTCTTTGCCTCACAGCATTTTCCTGCTGTACTCCTTTCCCACATCCGTTGCATGGAGCTATATATTTTTATTCCTCGTTTTTGTTTGCTTGTTGTTTGTATTGCTTCACTTTATTTTTCTTTTCTGTGACCTGTCCTTGTCTTTTTGTAAACAAAGCTCACTGTATGGTGTTTCCTGCTTCTTCTTCGAGTGCTGTTCCTGTGGGTGCTCCACTTCAGGTGACGGTGCGTTCCGGTGCCATTGATTGGAAATTTTCAGTAGCAGTGCTTGGTCAGGCCACACGTGCACAATAGCTGTTTAGCGGCACCATTGGAGTCTCATTTAGCGCACACACGGCCCAGCCCCCTCAGTTCCTTCTCAACCATCTTTGGCTGAAGATGGCGCTCAGGGCAGTGCGATAGCTTCTTCCCCTGTAGATAGAAAAAAATAGAAATTTAGTTGTTAGGTTTGTTGTAGTTATTAGTTAGTTAGGATTAGTTGTTAAAAAAAATAATTAGTTTTTCTTTCTCCAGTTCCCTGCTCCCTTTGGAGCACCACCCGCAAAAGTTTTCTCTGCTTCCTCGCTCTCTTGGACATGCCATGCTTCCCTGTCTTTAAGAGATGCGGCTCCTGCTGAGAAGTTATGCTGCGGTCCCACGGTCTCTCTGCGTGAGATGCCTGAGAGAAACACTCATACAACAGAACTGCATTCATTGTAACATCTTGAAAGCGAGAGCCCGGCGTGACTGTGATCTCCGCCTCAAAATGATCCTCAGGGAGAAATCATTCCAACCAGGGTCAGAAAAGAACCAACAGAAGCCTTCCTCTAAATGCTCACCGATCCAGTCTGAACCGACCAAGAGCACGTTTCCATCCTCTTATGAAAAGAGGAAGCAAACATCAACTTCTCCTCAGTGGGATCTGCATAAAGAAACAGTCCCCTGCGAGGTTGTTACCATTGGTGCAGATGACCTTGAGAGCCAGTACATATAACTCCCCCGGTACCCGGCACCAGCCATGCCAATGAATCCAAAGCGAAGGGCAAGGAGTCGAGACATAGACAAAGCCATGTCTCCTACACGGGTGCCAACCATGCTGACACCTGCAACGGATATGGCACCGACCATGCAGCCATCTCTGGTGCCAACCATGACTTTAGCGATGCTGCCTTGCTCAGCACCGACCCCTCGACTGGCACTGACTGACAGCACCGTGATGGGCCCACTGGCCCCGACCAAATCCAGCCACAAGAGGGCTGTGCACCTTCCTGCCACAACTAAACCATCAGCACCACATCCACCGGCACCACAACAATTGCTCCATCAGAAATATATTACTGTTGCATCAGTGCCCCAATCACTTCTTGGCACTGACGGATCGCCTGCGAGGAGCGTCTTACACAGCCTATGTCTCCCACAGCACTGCTGATGTCCAGCAACAGTGATAATGAGGACCAGGAGGAAGGAGTGTTCTCCCCACAATGCTCCCCCATGACTCAACACAGACTTGCTGGGGTACACTGAGACCCAAAGGCCAACATGCACAACCACCTTACCCTTGGTATGGATAACCATGGGTATGTCCCCTCATGGCATTCCCCATGCAGTGGCCACGTGGGACCCGTGGGCAGCATACAAATGCATGAACCTCATCACCAACCAGAGGTGAACTTCGGTGTCACCCTTTATCTTCAGTGGCTACAACATCGGTAGTCCCAGAGGAGATGATGGAGGATCCAGAAGAAGAAATAGGTCCTGAGGATGTGTGGCTAACACACAACTCTTCTTCCCCCGATGAGGCCATCATGCCACCTTCACCTACACTGGCAGATGGGTTGGGGGAGGGATATCTCAGTGGTTTGAGCATTGGCCTGATAAACACAGGGTTGTGAGTTCAATCCTTGAGGTGGCCATTTAGGGATATGGGGCAAAAATCTGTCTGGGGGTTGGTCCTGCTTTGAGCAGGGGGTTGGACTAGATGACCTCCTGAGATCCCTTCCAATCCTGATATTCTATGATTCTATTACTTCAAACAATTTTTAAATGCATAGCACTTAGCCAGGACATTCACCTAGAGGAGGTCCAGGAAAGTCAACACAAGTTACTACAAATTTTGCACTCTTCCTCATCCTCCAAAACTGCTCTGCCCATAAATGATGCAATCCTTGAACCTGCGGAAATGGAGTGGCAGATGCCAGCCACCGTCCCTCCAACATGCAAATGTGAGGCTGACAGAAAATAATATATGCCAGCCAAGGGAATGGACTTTCTTTTTTCCCATCCACAACCAAACTCGCTAGTGATCACGGCAGTGAACCAATTTATCTTTGTCGAAGGAAAGATCCTCCACCTTAATTTGCAGCTCTTTCAGAATACCAACCAGACAATTACCGGAAGCACTTTGAGTTTACGTCTGACCTTCCTGAAGACGAGAGCACAATTTAAGACTGTGCTCACTGAAGGGCAACTAGTTGCCGGGACTACTATACAGGCTTCTCTGGATGTGGCCGATACAGCAGCTCACACCACAGCTAGGACTATCGTGATGTGCAGAGCCTCCTGGCTCCTGTTGGCCGGTATTCTGAAAGAGCTGCAAATGAAGGTGGAAGACCTTTCCTTTGACAAAGATAAATTGTTTTCATCGAAAACCAATGAGGTTCTCCATTACATGAAGGGCTCTCAGGCATCTCTTTGCAGACTGAGCATCTAAACACCGCCCACTAAGAGAAAGTGCTACCAACCTTACCACCATGCCAGGGACACATAGTATAATCGTCCTCAGTCCAGACCGTACGAATCTAGTAGACAGAGAAATAGACCAAGTGGAATTGGGGACACTGCTCTACATTCATCTGCTGGAAGCGGCGACCAGTACATCCCTCGGCCCGCGCTCTACAGTCATCTGACGTGGAGCACCCACAGGCACAGCACTCAAAGAAGAAGAGAGGGTGACTCACCTTGTGCAGTAATTGAGGTTCTTTGAGATGTGTGTCCCTGTGGGTGCTCCACTACCTATCCTCTTCCCCTCTACTTTGTAGTTCGATACAAGGACTCTACAGTAGAGAAGGAACTGAGGGGGTCAGGGCGTGTGCTACACGAGACTTCAACGGTGTGGCAAGACAGCTACTGTGCATGCGTGGCCCGACCGAGCTCACACTCACACTCATGCCCGTCACCCCAATTGGGGTATGGGCCGCCAACCACAGATCTCCAGAGTCCTTTATCCTGGGCCATTTGCTCTAGCTCGTTCCAGGTATAGCCCGTTTTTATGCTATCAGCCTGAAGGTCGCGTCGCCAGGTGTTTCTTGGACGGCCTCTTTTCCGCTTGCCTTGGGGGTTCCACCGCAATGCCTGTCTAGTGATGTTGGTTGGCTGCTTGCGTAGTGTGTGTCCTATCCAACCCCACCTTCTCCTTCTAATTTCTTCCTCTGCTGGAAGTTGACGGGTCCTCTCCAAGAGGTAGATGTTGCTGATGGTGTCTGGCCAGCGGACCTGGAGAATCCTTCTAAGGCAACTATTTATGAAGGTCTGGATCTTCCAGGTGGTTGTTTTAGTTATCCTCCAGGTTTCAGCTCCATACAATAAGACTGATTTCACGTTGGAGTTGAACAGTCTAATCTTTGTTGCCAAAGACAGCTCTCTAGAGCTCCAGATGTTCTTGAGCTGTAAGAAAGCTGCTCTTGCCTTACCAATCCTTGCTTTGATGTCTGCGTCTGTGCCACCCTGTTGGTCGATGATGCTGCCTAGGTAGGTGAAGGACTGCACTTCTTCCAGAGGGCTTCCATTCAGTGTGACTGGGTCATTACTGATGGAGTTAATCTTGAGGATCTTGGTCTTGTCCTTGTGGATGTTGAGGCCAACCTGTGATGACGTGGCTGCCACTACGTTGGTCTTCTCTTGCATCTGCTGTTTGCTATGCGAAAGGAGTTCAAGGTCATCGGCAAAGCCCAGGTCATCAAGCTGGGTCCACAACGTCCACTGGATTCCGTTCCTACGCTCATAAGTGGATGTCTTCATAATCCAATCAATGACAAGGAGAGAGAGCGAAATGGTGACAACAAGCATCCTTGTCTGACTCCGGTTCGCACCTGGAAGCTGTTTGTAAGCTGCCCTCCATGGATCACTCTACAGTGTATGCCGTCCTATAAGTTCTTAATCAGGTTGACCACCTTTGCTGGGATGCCATAGTGCCGAAGGAGCTTCCAGAGAGTCTCTTGATCCACGCTATCGAATGCTTTCTCATAGTCAACAAAACTGATGTACAACGAGGAGTTCCACTCCATAGACTGCTCGACTATGATGCGGAGTGTTGCTATCTGGTCCGTGCATGATCTATTTTGCCGGAAACCTGCTTGCTCATCTCGTAGCTGTGGATTGACGGCATCCTTCATTCTCTCTAAGAGGACTCGGTTGAAGACCTTCCCTGGCATCGACAGAAGTGATTCCTCTGTAGTTGGCACAATTGCTGAGGTCTCCTTTCTTGGGGATTTTAATAAGATATTCCTCTTTCCAGTCTGCTGGAATCACTTCTTCCCATATCTTCTCAAAGAGGGGGTACAGCATTTCCACTGAAACATCCAGATCTACTTTCAGGGCCTCTGCTGGAATATCGTCAGGTCCAGCCGCCTTCCTATTCTTCATCATAGTGATGGCTTTTCTGATCTCATCTCTGGTCTGTCACAATTGATTGGAAGGTCTTCGTTGGTGCCAGGATGTACTGTGATCTGAAGTGGAGCACCCACAGGGACGCACATCT